GAAGTCAAGCACCTTCCACAGGATGCATGCTGGCACATTTTCCCCCGACCACATCATCAGAGGGGATGTTAGGAGATGCGGCCGACCCCTTGCTCCCTTGGTTGATGAAGCCCTATATGGGCAGCCTAGACCCCACCAAAGAGACCTTCAATGGCAAGCTCAGCAGTAGGGATGTAATAGTGTAGTAGATGATCTGATTAGCAAAAGCGTATAGGTTAGTGCTATAGACTACATGCCTTTCCCCTCTCCCAGCCTGCCAGCAGCCTGCCTCAGTCCTGGCTTGCGATGGGTCTGGGATCCTACCCCTACGACAGCTCTACATTTAAACTGTTATTAGGAGGTAGGCGAGCAGGCAGCGTAGACCCAATTCTGGCTCACGCTGGGTCCAGGAGCTCAGATACTTCCCACCCCACCACAGACAGGGGCTGCTGCCGTATCAGAGCTGGTTTTTAAATGGGCTCCTCTCGTGGACCAGCTCCTACCCGGCACCTCGTGCTGCTGCCTCAGATACAGAAGCAGCAGCACAAAGTGGCAGGGGGCTCTTTGGGAGTGGGGCCAGAGCGCACTGGCTACCAGCCCCACTCCTGGGAACTACAGAATAGTCAAGAAACTGATAATTCATGAAGTTACTTGACTATTCAATTAACTGATATTTACCTTCCCTACTTAGCAAGTGCCACATGGTGGGGGAGTGTGCCTACAGCCACCTCAAGGGGAAGTTCCAGAATCTCCTCACCCACCTAGATCACACTGAGCACAACATCCGGCAGGGGCCTGCTGTATATTCCACAATATATAGGAGAGCAAGGGGAAGATTTTCCTGCCAGGGTGTGTGTGTGTGGGGAAGAGGGGGAAATTAGAGGGTGAGCAGCAGGCTAGGGCTTATGAGCAGCTGGGTACCACTGCCGTTCAGGGGTCTGTGCTCATTTGGGAGGGCTTGAAGCCAAGGCCAAACCAAGACCACATGCGAGACTCTCCCTTGGGCCTCACCACAAGGGGCCTCTGCATTGCCCCTGTGTGTCTTTCCTCTCCTGCCCTCCCTTTCCATCTCCCCCCCTTCCCCCACTTCCCTGCAGACCAAATAAAAAAGCATTTCTGTATAGAAAACACAAGTCTGTTATTTTTATTTGGGGGATAGATAATAGAGGAGGGATTGCAAAAAGAACCTCCGATTGGGGTGGAGGGCTTAGGGATGGAGCTTGGACTGGTGCCTGCCTCAAGTACCTCGGGAGGCTTTGGGTGCCCGAGACATCCTCCCACCACATGTTCATGGGCCCTGGCTGCCCCTGGAGGGTGGGAGGAAGGACCTATGAGAAGCCAGGAGCAGGTGTGGGAAGTGGCTGGTGGACCACTTCATAGACGAGACCATGCGCTCCATGACAGATGTCATGGACGAGCAGATGGCCTTGAGCTGGTGCAACAGCTGCTGCCACATGGTGGTCCTCAGCTGGCAGTCAGCCCAGTGCTCCTGGCTGAGAGAACAGGGGCAGTCTAGTGGTTCCCGCACCAGGTCCTCAGAGGTTCGCCTTTGCCTGTGGGTCTCACAGGGTCATGCTGATGGTGCGGGAGGTGGTGGATGTGCCACACTTGCAGCTGGCCCAGCTGTGAGGAAGTGACAAGGTAGTCATTCCAGGGTACACTGTGCATGAAGCCTGGCCCTAAGCCAAGGGGTGGGGGAACAATAATTTTTGCCAGACGGTCACTTAATTTTAGTATTGCCCATGGGCCAGCTCCACCCCTGGAAGGGGTGGGGCCTGGGGTTGAAGGGGAGGGGCTCGGGGTTAGCCACCTCCCAGAGTTGCCTGCAAGCAGAGGCTTTGAATTTAAGACACAGCAAAGGGCTTGCGGCTTTCTGCCCCACTGCTAACACGTTGCCTGGTAGCTGTCTGGGGTGGCTGTGGCTATTTAAAGGGTTCACAGCTCTGGTCCCTGCTGGGGTAGCACCGAGACTGTGAGCCAGGAGACATTTAAGTAGGATCCTGCCTGAGTCACCACCTGGAAGTTGGGTGGCATGGGAAGCAGGATATAAATAGAAAGCAGCCAGCTGCCATCTGTGGGCCAAATCCTGATCTGCACCTTGCCCAGCACTGCCCTAATCTGAGCTGAAGCTGATGATGTGCTTCGAGCAAGGTCATCTGTTGCCTAGACAGCAGGCACTTTCCTGCAGGGACACAGACATTCCAGGGGAACCTCGCTATCCCCATGTCCCAGGGACAAGCAGGCATGGGAAGGTGCTAGCCAGTTCAGGACCCTTCAGGCAGGAGGGGGGTGGCTTGGCTTCCTTCCCTGTCCCACATACACTGGGTCCAGCAGTGGCGGCATCCCACAGAGAGAGAACTCTTCTATCTGTGCCTGCTAGAGAAGGGGCAGGGAGGAAGAGGTGGTGTGTGAGAGCAGCAGATGCTGCTTTCTGGGGAGAGTGCTAGTGGGGTTCCCTCCTCTTTTCCCCTACTCTGGCAAGTTCCCATGCATGGGATTGGTCTCCCCACATTGCCTCACTTGACTGGGAGCAGATGCTGCCCAAGAGAGCAGGCATGTGCCTGTGCTGTGTGTTTCCATAACCCCTGCCTCCTTAGTGGTGGCTTGTCATGGGAAGGTGTCCTGCCATGGATTCTGGTGTAAAGCAGGCCTCTCCAGGAATCTTATGAGAAGTAGCAAGGGGGTTCTTGTATGAGAGCATCATAGAGCAGAGTTCTCCACCCATGTGCACACAGGCTGTTGTGCAACTCCCCCCCTCCCCAGGCCTAGTAGGCTGAGTGAGGAGCATGTAGCCTCTCATTACCCACCACCTGCCTCTGCATGCATACAGGGAAAGTGATGGAACTCACCTGAACTGCCTTCTCTGGGTTTGTCCGAGCCCTGGGGACATCCTGGGAGAGAAGGAATGACTCCAGGCTAAGATCTCCTGGCTTGGGCATATGGTGTCCAGGCTGGCCTGCACCTCCTTCAGGTTGATGACCAGCATGTCCAATAAGGAGTCGACAGTGGGGGGGGGGAGGAGAGAAGTGACTGGCCTTGCTCCCAAGATGGCATCCAGCTGCTCCTAGTAGCAGCACATGAGGTGCTGCCTCAGAGAGGGAACTTTCCTTCCTGGTCTTGGTGTATGCCTGCCAGAGTTCTTTTGTTTTCATCCACACCTGGTCCAGGGGGTGGCTGTGCCCCATCTGAGCCAGGCTAACAGCCACTTGGCCATAGATTCCTGCATTCCTCTTCTTGGTGCGTAAATCCTGGATGTTCATCTCTTCACCCCAGACCTTGAAGAGATCCAGGATCTCCACACCAGTCCAGGCCAGTGCCCTCTTTCTCCCCCCACCAGAGGCTTCTGATCTGGCTGCAGGCATACCGACAGCTGTGGAAGACTCAGAGGGCGTGCTAGGATCTGCCACGGATGCAGTGAAGGGTGTTGTGTGGCACAGGGCTGATGTGGTGCCACAAGCCCTTTCTCTTCTGCCTGCAGCTTTAAACTCTGCAGGAGAAGGGTAGCAGTGGAGTGGTCAGGTGTGTATTCCTCTTCACAAGCAGGACTTATTATTTCAAAATAACGGACTTGGTAGTGTGGACACTTGCACTGTTATTTTGCAATAAGAGTAGTGATTTCAAAATGACTCCCCAATGTAGACATGCCCTAATTGGCTCTCTTTTACAAGCAAGGTGCCTTTCCTTATGTTTACGTGCTTTTAAGTATTATATTATGTTGACTGTGGTATATTTTATATTTTGCTCTTATGAAAGAGGAATTAGTTGGTTAGATAACACCCAGGCTACGTCTACACTGGCCCCTTCTTCGGAAGGGACATGCTAATTTTGAAAGTGGGAATAGGGAAATCCGCGGGGGATTTAAATATCCCCCACGGGACTTAAATAAACATGTCCGCCGCTTTTTTTCCGGCTTGGGGAAAAGTCGGAAAAAAGCGTCTAGACTGGCCCGATCCTCCGGAATAAAGCCCTATTCCGGAGGATCTCTTATTCCTACTTCAAAGTAGTTATGTTAGTTAAAATTTTCAAACAGATTCAGTATAAATACAGAAAAGAAACTTTATTACTTGTTTCAAATATTACATGCACTTTCAAAAATTAAAACTCTTTATTTAAACATCTCAATAGCATCTTGTCCGTTTGGAGGCAGCAAAGAATACCAAGACAAATATTTTGAAAAGCATTTACAAAAATACATTGCACAAAGTCCTATCTTGCTTCTTTAAAAATAAGTTAGTGTTATTCAAAATATTCCCACCCCAGTTTCTAATTTCAATTTATACAGGATAATTCTGATTTATATATTTAACCTATAATATATGAAACACCTGTACATGTTTTAGCTAGCTCTTCTGCATAGGCCATTGGTTCTGTTTCTAGCTGAACTTAAACACTCTCTATAGAGATTTTTTTAAAAATATTTGAGGACTATTGTGCAACATACATAACTATTCAGAAAACCACTCAGCACCATCATTCATCTTTCTGAAAAGTACAGCACAGTACATCTGTAATTAAATTGACCCAATAAAACGCATCACAACAGTAAGATACATTTCTCCTCACGAATGCCTTTCAAGAATCTTATTTGTAAAGGGTTTCCACTAAATTAAGAAATTAAATTAAATTAAATTACAAAATGAGCCTCAAAGTTGGGAGAGCAGTGCAAGCAGTCTGTTAGACAAATGCAAGTTCCAATTAAATCCAGTAAGAGAATGCTTCTAAGAGTCCTTGTGCTAGCATTCTTCAATGGGTAATGAATCCTCCACTTTAAGGGTATAAAAATGGAAACATTGTCTAAAGAATGGTATCTAAATATAGTGACATTGAGTGTGAACCTCTTTTGCAAATTACCTCACTGCAGAGATTTTTTTTTAATTAAAAGTTGAGTCTGAACCTATTTTCACTTAGTGCTTCTACAGCACAGCACTTACAATTTGAGCCAGCCAATTAATTTTGTGATGAAGAGATATTTTTTGTCACCAAGACTTTGCTGCTGCAATTTTAGCTCTGAATTGATCTTATCTGCAGAACACTAGCCATACTCTCATTCTCACCTATACTGAATAAGCCTATTACATTGGCCCAGTAAGGGTTCATATACTGAGGCTACGTCTACACAGCTTCCCTCTTCCGCAAAAGCCTATGCAAATTAAGCACAGATTAGCATATTGCCATACCTCATTTGCATAATTAATTAGGAGCTGGTTTTGCGCAAAAAGGCGCCATCTACACAGCGCCTTTTTGTGCAAAAAGCCCCTCTTGCGTAAGAGCTGTTCTTCCTCATTTTTTCAGGAAGAATGGCTCTTGCGCAAGAGAGGTTTTTTGTGCAAAAATGGCTCCTAATTAATTATGTAAATGAAGTGTGGCAATATACTAATCCGCACTTCATTTGCATAGGCTTTTGCGGAAGAAGGAAGCTGTGTAGATGGAGCCTGAGTGATTATTCTAAAAAGCAAAATCAAGAGGAAACTAAAAAGGAAGAAAACTTAAAATAATTTTAGTAGCTTAAAATCAACCCTGATTTTTACATCAATGCATGGTTCCATGTTAGAGGAAAGCTTTTTATGCCTCTGATGCTTAAACTAGTTTTGGTTCCATTAACTTTCCGTGACAGTAACATGTATCATATTCTGTATCTATGTTGGAAGTCCTTTTGGGCCTAGCAACAAGTTCAAAAGTCATGGTCAACTAAAGCATATGTTAGCCACAATTAGTGTTTAAAAGTAGTCATATGTTTGACATAGGATGCCTGGGTAATAGAAGTGTGCAGATGGAGCCTGTATTAAAAACTGATTCCTAGCTGCAGAAAACATGGCTTATTTAAAAACTGTACATTCAAAGGTAATAAAATAAGTATCACCTATTTGCCAAGTGGGTTTTGTGAACCAAAGTAGTTTACATGCAATATTTTTCTCAGAATGGATACATTAAAATATAAAGCTGATGGCAATTACAAGCTGAGTATCAGAGCAGGTATGAGTTTGTATACAATTCTGCTGTCAGTCTTTAGCATTTTACTGAAGAGAAGTATTGATCCTGGAGTACATGTCACACATCCTCATCCCTTAAAGATTCCAGTGTTCTAGGTTTTCCAATATATACAAACAGAAAATATACAACAGAAAAACTGTAGTGTAGTTTATTCAATAGGTTTTCCATGCACTCTGAACCGATACAGACAGGTATATTCTGTATGACCCCAATTAGAAAAAATTCTTAGCTCCACTATCTGGAATGCATTTTTATTTTTCTCCTGAAAAAAACATGAGGAAAAAAAAAATCAGGCATCTAATACATACACCACTTTATTTTTCTCTGTAGTCAACTGAGACTGATCACCTAAAGGTGTTTAAAAATGGCAGCCAAATCACTGCACTGCTTAAGCAATGAATGATGTAAGTTGTATACTGAAAAGGTACAGTAATCACAATTTATGAAGTCTCTTGCAATCTACACAAGTTATCAAATTTTCGTTATCTTTGCTAGAGGTCCTGCATTATACTGGAGATCTAGGTGAAGCAGAATAATTCTTAATGTTTTTATTTAAAGGACTGAAAGCAGGAAAAAGATTTTTACAGCAAAACAACCTTTAAAATAAGCACAGCAACTTTCCCAGTCACAGAATATTTCAGATGAACAGTGCTAGTGTTTTACTGAATGCAAATTATTAATTTAATCCACAGTGTGGTAGAATCAGTTTAACCCTAGTCCATCTGATTTAATATGGATATTGAAAAATTCTGGTACTGAAAGTCATTCTTCATTATAAACTTTTTTGATAGGCAAAAATAAAAATGCCAAAACGACTCTTCATTTGCAATGGTTCAAGTCAGGAATAACTTCATTAAGTTACTGCATTTATCAGTGCAAGAGTTAAATCAGAATCACATTTCAGAACGCTAGCATTTTGCATATTAACACACTGCTAATGCCTTTCACTACCAAATGTATCAAAGCAATGCTTTGATGCTTGTAATAATAGCAGTAATGTGTCAAAGTGAAGTGGCTTTGCCAACAACAGCTATGTATTTTCTATTAATGTGGGCTTACCGTCACTTGAAACATCTGTAGTGACTCTCCATCTTGGTCATAGACATACTGTCCTAGAAGGGTGCCTTCTTCCTGATATTCATCTTCTAGACCCTATCATGAAGAGTTAAGCCTTTTTTTCCCCAAATTTCAGATAATCAGTTTAGTTGCAATTATAGGATGTCACATTCTTAACTCGGGAGGTCAGAACAAACACTAGCTATAATTGTGAAGAAAATAAACGTTGTCTAGGAATAACAAGAAAGAAAGAAAAGGTGGGACCAAGAAAGGGTGGCATTGAGGAAGACTAGGTTGGATACCTATGCTCACTATTTTACATATTTCATGTCAATTGGAAACAAAAAGAGTTTCTAGAAGTCAGACTAATCAATGATTATACCATATAGCTGTACACTACTGATATGCGACAGTGCCTGAAAGGATCACAATCCATTCCTTTTATGGAAGAGTCAAGTGCTTGGTTTGAAGAGCACTTTAGATAATCATGGCACAAAAAAATAAGTTTTGATTATTTTGCTTTAATGTTTTTCTCTGTAAACCAGATGAGTAAAACAACAAAATCATTAGAGTTTTTAAAAACAATACTTAGCTTTTATACATTCTCATTCATAGATGATATAACTCTTTATAAAAAGGAGGTAAATATAAGAGCATAAATGTAAATATTTGAAGAGGTTTTTTAACACTAATAGCTTTTAAAAATTATGAATAGTTATTCCACTCAAATTATCCGAACAGAGCAAAAACATTTAATACCTTAACTGTAGCACAGAAAGACTTACGTATACTGAGAAATCCTTTGGAGCACTTGTGATATTTCCTGTCGGTGAAAGAGTTTTTGGTATATGTTCTAATGTAAAGGCTGTTGGGTAGATCATCATAGAAAGTCTAACTACAAGGTATCCCTGTGATCCTTTGAATGCCCAGCAGTTTCCTGGATACATATCAGGCTATAGGGGCAGGGGGAAAATAAATATTGAACATACTGGTAAAATGTTCTAATGAATTTTGAGTTATTAAAGTTCAGTTTTATTAGGTTATGCCTCTGATTATACTTAGAATTGTTATTCATGTAACAGAACACAGTCTAAGAATATGGGTAAATTAGCAGATCAAAAACGGCAGCACTTTAACACAGCTGTGTTGTCATGGCACCAGCACAAGGAGGGAGCTATCCCAGCATTCTAGGTAAACCACCTCCATGCACAGCATGGCTCCCTGTGCTGGGAGCCTGTTTACACTGGCACTTTACAGCAATGTAACTTGCTCTACTAGTGGGGGTGTTTTTCCCACACATCTGAGCAAAAAAGTTACAGTGCAGTAAAGTGGCAGTGTAGATAAACCCTTAGTTGCTTCAACAAGAAGAAAAGGGAAGAAATGTTTGGACTGTCCTCACTCTGATGCATTAATCAGATAATGAAGATTCCCCAGCAAACCCTTCCCCCCACCCTCCATTACCATCTCCTCCGGCAGCCAAGATTGTCAAGAGTGATTAGTGATCTTCAGTGCCAAAACAGATTCTCACAAAAGGGGTGTAAATTTCATAGGCAGTGTGCCCAGAAATTTCTGAAAACCAGATCTTCTTTCAATGTTTCAAGCTAGGAAAAACAAAACAAAACAAAACCACCACCACCCACTCTAAGGTGTCCATAACCACTACTGACATTTAACAGCCTTGGTCGGTGCTTATTTCTCTCATTTTTAAGGATAATTCTCCTTGGGATGGCCCTCTGGACAAGGCCTATGCACCTCTTTAGTCACATTTGAAATTTAAATCCTCCAAATAGGGCTTAAGTGTAAATTTAAATGGTGACGGGGCCTTATGTAGGATTGGTGCACAGAGTTCTATTCTCAAAAAAAAAAAAAAAAAAAAAAAAAATTAATTTCCAGGTACATCTTCCACTTCAAGAAAAATTCTGGTACTCAAAATTTCTTGGCAGCATAGCTTTTAAAACACAACTTTTATAGTATAATGGTCCATGATTTGGTGCTCTAGATATACAAATAAATAACAAGATTGTAGATATATTCTGTTTTTAATTACCTGGATTACCACTCTGGGAGACTGAGAGAAATACCACAAAGGAATTCCAAAGAGACTAATTAGTGCTGTTTTGGTCTCGTAGGTCTCAGAACAGCGAGTACTCAGAATGCTGCCACCTCAAAAAGAAAAAAGTCAAGTTAAAACATAAAAAATGAAGTGCGTCACTTTGAGTAGTCTAACTTTCAGTAGAATATTGTCCCAAACTGAACATGCCAATGATTTTTTTTCTTCAAACAAATATTCAAATTCCATCAAGTTCTAGTAACTTTCCATTAAGCATTGCATTTTAATGCAAACCTCCTGTTCTCCAGATTAGAGTTTTACATTAAGGAAACTACCCCACTTTTAAAATAGTAGCATAAAAGTACTATTTTCAGCTTGAAATAAAATGCATTTTTTAAAAAAATTTAAAAACCTGAACAGGCAGGTATTTTTCCAGTAAGTTTGCATCCATAATATGTATACCATAAAAAAAGAGCTGTTCTTATCCCTACCATGGGATAGTTGAGTATTAAATATCAGTTAACTGAATAGTCGAGTAACCTCATGACATTTTATCAGTTAGTTGACTATTCTGTAGTTCCCGGGGGTGGGGCTGGCAGCCACTGTATCAGAGGCAGGAGCTCAGGTGTCAGGTGGGAGCTGGTCCGTGAGGGGAGCCAGTTTAAAAACCAGCTCCCCTCATGGGCTGGCTGCCTGTTGCCTTGTACTGCTACTTCTGAGAGAGGCAGCGGCGCAGAGTGGCAGCAGTCCCTGTCTGGCGAGGGTCTGACCTCCCAGACCCAGCACAAGCCAGAACTGAGCTGGACTGCCTGCCTGCCTGCCCGGCTCTTAATACACTTGAAATGCAGAGCTGAAATGGGGTAGATCCCAGACCCAATGTGAGCCAGAACTGAGCCCGGTTGCCTGACCACTCAGCTCCTAATACACTTTAAATGCGGAGTCATAGCAGGGGTAGTTACTGGACCCATTACAAGCCAGGACTGAGCCAGGCTGCTGGCCAACCTGCTAAAAATTTACTGGCAGGAAGAGGGAAATGCATGTAGTCTATAGCATTAACCTATCACCTTTTGCTTATCTGTTAATCGACTATACTATTACATCCTTATCCCATGGTACTTTCTTTTAAAGAGCGTCTACAAACTTGTGCCATATTATTCTAGTCTACCAGTGTGTTTCTAGTGCCACCAAGAGTTCAGAGTTAAGTTTGTATGCACTTTTATTAACATATACATAAACAAAATACAAATTCTATAGTATTCCTATTGTTTGTCACATACTAGAAACAACTCTTGATTTATTATAAAAACCAACAATTCAGATTACAATTGCTGCAAATAGACTACTCTATTTATAGCTATTCTGCTATATTTACCTCCGGATTCTAAAGCAAAGTCCACCATACCAGTCTGATCTTGAGAATAGAGTTTCAGTGCATTATTTACAATAATGCGTGCTTGCTACAGATAACAGGGACGAGAGAAAGCATGGAAAAAGAAAACAAGTTTGGTATTAGAGATACATGCATTCAACAGTCTATTAACTAAGATGGCATAAATACTTTCAATAAAATTGTATTATATCACAGAATCTTTGGAACCAATATCTTGATGACACGTTATCCAATGTTTGATGAGTGGCAGTCTGATTACAATGATGATACTCTGAATGGTATTTCTGTATATCTTTGTCTTCTCTCCATTAGGTCACATTTTATTTTTCTTTATACTTTTGGGTATTCCTCAGCTTCCAAGAAAGAAGAGTTTGGCAAACATTACAAATCATAAAGGGTAACAGGATTTTTATTATGTTTCGTTATTGCATCCAATGTAGCTAGGGTACTTATTTTAGGATAGGAATAATAGTGTTTTTAAGTAACAAGACTAGTAAGTCTATTGTAGCTACCTAACAGTCAACCAGAGGAGACTGTTGACTGAACCTAAGGCCATGTCTACACTATAAACTCTGGTTGATGCAAGTTACATCCACATACAGCTGCCAACATTAGTACATTGCTCATGAATACTTGGCCGCTTGTGTCCACACTACATATACTCAGGAATGCTTGTGTCAATGCAGAGTGCACTGCACCACAGATAGGGGTCTCAGTATGCCACATTGCCACAAGGCTAAAATCTTTGTAGGAAATTTTTGCAGTGTGCTGTGAAACAGAAATTAATCATTCAGGAACCTTTGGGAGCTAGAGATCAAATTCCTGCATGCATTTCCCCCCCCCCCCCAAGAATCCCACAAACCCACACAGCCCTTTTACACATCTGCCACTTCTGACAAATGCATGGAGTCTACACAGCTCTACATTATCCTTATGAATGTTGCAAACACAAGACACAAAATCTCTCAAGATCTGCAGACCCACATAAAGAACTGCAAAACTTGGGGACATGATTCTATAAAGACAGACATTGTTAAGGGACATAGTGATAACCAATTCAGTGTTGTGGGTGATGTTCACAGAGTAGCTGCAGAAAGTGAAGTGCCCCATCTGGGCTTGAGAAATTAACACTGACTGATGAGATAGCATCATAATGCAGATTAAGGACAAGATACATTAACTGAAGACCTTTTAAATGTGAGAGGCCACATATGTGGATCTGCGTGCCAAGCCTGCCTACCCCTACAGTGAAGGGATACCAGAACATGAGCGGTGCTGACAGCTGAGAAGTGAATGGCAATCACACTTGGGAGCTTGCAATGCTGGAAGTCTACTGGTCAGTGGGAAATCATTCTGGAGTTAGAAAATCCATGGTGGGTGCCATTAATTGTTCTTCTATATTGGACTGACTCAGTTATGTATAGGACATAGTGAACAGAATTGCAGTAGTGAGGTTCCCAAACTGCAGTGGGGTGATAGCTGACTTGCATATCCCTACTTTGGGACCAGCCCACCTTGCCACAGAGTACAAGTGAAAAGGCTACTTTTCTATGACTATGCAATTGTTGATAGATCACCATGTATGCTCCACTGATATTAACAATGGGAGTTGGTCAGGGAAGGTATATCACGCTCACTTCTTTACAAACACAGGACTCTTCAGAAAACTGAAAACATATATTCTTTAACAACCAGCAGGTTACCATTGGCAACAGAGAAATGGAAACAGCATATCCCTCATTCCAATGGTTTGTGAAGAGCCACCTTGACAGCACAAAGGAAAGATTTAACTACCAGCTCAGCACATACAGAAGGACAGTTAAATGTGCTTTTGGTAGACTGAAGGAACACTGGTGTGATTACTCCCAATGCTGAATTTCACTGAGGAAACTCTCTCAAGGGTTATAGTTGCTTGCTGTGCCTCTGATAACATCTCTGATGCAAAGGGGAAAAGTTCCTTGAGATGGAATGGTTGTCTGCTGAGTTTGAACAGGAAGGAAAAAGGGTTTAATACAGAACTACAGAGTTTTGGCTAGGTATGTAATAGTGTAGTCTATTAAGCAATAAGCAAAAACTTATAGGTTAATGCTATAAACTACATGCATTCCCCCCTCTCGCACACTTGCCAGTAAATTTTTTAGCAAGCTGGCCAGCAGCCAGGCTCAGTTTTGGCTTGCGATGGGTCCAGGACCAATCCTTGCTGAAGCTCTGCATTTAAAGTATATTAGGAGCTAAGCAGGCAGGCAGCCCAGCCCAGTTCCAGCTTGCACAAGGTCTGGGAGCTCAGACCCACTGAGGACAGGGGCTGCTGCCATCCTGCACTGCTGCCTCTTTTTCAGAGGCAGCAGCAAAGGGCAACAGGTAGTTGGTCAACAAGGGGAGCTGATTTTTAAACTGGCTCCCCTCGCAGACCAGATCCCGCCTGCCATCCATGATACAGAAGCAGTATTGCCAAGTGACAAGGGGCTCCTCGGGAGTGGAACCTCGGGAGTGGAGCTGCTGGCCCCAACCCGGGGACTACAGCATAGTCGAGTAACCGATAAGAATTCATTAGGTTATTCGACTATTCAATTAACCAATATTTAACATCCCTAGTTTTGGAAGGCTTTGAAATAGCACTTGAATGGTCAGCCACATTAACACACTGTCTTGGACTGTGCTGAGCCCTCAAACCAGTAGTACCAGTTAAGAATTGTGTAATATTTATAAATGTGCCCCTAGCATTACATTGTATTTTAGTGGACCTATGAATTACATGCTGCTTGCTGTACATTTACACCTATGCCTGTTTAACATAGGAGTTCTGTGGTGCCATCAACTTGGTACTTGAGTGTTGCTATTCATTTTGCAGTATGCATAGTGAACTGAATGTATTTAAAAATTTATAGAAGAATTATTGAGTAACAAAACCAGTGCAAAATAACCAAAGATCCTTTCCCTTCTCCGGGTTCCTTTGTGGTTGGCTGATGGGACAGTTCAGATTGCAGTCCTGGCTCATGGCATAACTGGACTCCCACCCTACCATGACTCCTCTCTCCTCCTCTCTGTTCACAGCAGAGTTCTGTCTCAGGCTCCTTTTGAGGTACCTATGGTGGTCTGCAGGGTGCTGGTGGGAACTCTGCCAAACATGGCATGCAGCTTGCTGTAAAAGCAGCAGGTCTGTGGCTCAGCACCAGATTAAATGTTGGCTTTCCCAGCTTTGTGAGATGCCTACTACAGTTCCTTCATTCCCACATGGTGTTGCTGCGGATTCTTGTTATACACCATTGCCTGCATCCCCCATGCAACTATTTCACAGATGTCCTGGTTTCTGTGGCTAGTTAGTAGCTGTGTTTGTACTGCTTCTTCTTACCAGATGAGGAGATCCAATTTCTCATCTACTCCAGACAGGAATATGTCTAAGAGCTGGCATGATTGGTAGGGCAGCTACACATAACACGGAAGAACTGCTACATGTGCTTGCCACGCTGGGCAATCAGGAAAAGGCATTTTAAAAATAAAGTGAAGTATTTTAAGTGGAAGGCAGCTTCCCGTCTGTGATTCCTTAGCAGAGTAGTTCACTGTGGGACCAGAGCAGTCACTATTAAGCATTCATTGTGAGAGAACTGTTAGGATTGACATACGTCCCACAGTAGCTACGCTTACACGTCAATCTGTATAGGTCAACTATGACTCACTGCCATTCATAGATGTGGATTTATGGTGTCACTTTAAGATGGCATTTACATTAGCTGGACATACATTTGAGCATAGACAGAATGCAAATTGGTCAATGCAAGTAGACTTACATCAACCTCACTTTATAGTGTAGACCAGGCCTAAGTTGTATCACCACAAAAAAGAGAAAAGGAAGGGATGTTTAGGCAACATATACTCCCAAACAATACTGTCCATAATCAAAAGCTATACAATTTTATTTAAACTGCTGCTGAAGCAATGGAAACCCAAAACAAAATCTTAACAGCTCTTAGGTAATATATGAAGCACAATTTCCATGTATTTTAGATTATTATTCTTAACTGCCATTAAACTTCTAAACTCTCTCTCAAACTTGCCGATTGAAACACATTTCATTACCTTGTTATATTTAGTCAAACTATGCACTATAATAAAATCCTTCAAAAACAAGTTTTAACCTTTATAACTATAGTTAAGTTATGATTGAAACTTTTCAACATTTCTTTTAGAATGCTTACCGCTTCTGTGATGCCAGAAATCCCTGCATTTACTGCACTTGTTACTACTTCAGAAGTTGGCTTTTGGTTTGTAATAGACATGTGGAGAGTAATATTCTTGAGGATTTGCAGCTCTAAATCTTGTAACAAAACCTGCAGATCACTCTTGCTCACAAATCTGGACGTTAGCCATTGGAGTAGTGATTCAGAAAAGTTTTCTTGTCCGTCACCAAAAAACATAAGTTTGACAGATTCTTTGACCTGGGCATCTACCTAGTAAAGTCCATCAACAGGTAAAAGTTACTATTTGGATACTCTTTCAAAAGAATTTAATCCTCATAAATCATCTAAAGTAATAAAATGAACAGTTGTGTAAGTAGTCTGCTTAAAATCCTTCAGTTTTTCCTAGAGTCCAAATAATTTAATATATATCCCCATCTTTGCAAAACACTCAGTAAAATCTCTTCCATTTGCCTT